CATGCATTATATGCAAAACAAACCTTCCTGTAAGACTCTGATCTGGGACCTGGGAATATGGATTCCTGAGTGCAGCTGTGCAAGTATACTGCAGGTTTACTGTCTTAAGCCTGTTCTCAGTCATCATCTTCTCCCTTCAAGGATTATTTTTAAAACGTGATTTAGGATACTAATAACAGTATGTTAACATAGTGATTTGGACCCTGAGTGATAAGGCAAAAGAACCACTGTGTTATCCAAACACATCTCTTAATAGATGCTTAATAGGATGGAGGGAAAAGATGGGGGGGGAGGGGGGAGGAGGAGGGGAGGGAACAAACCCTATCTATTTCCGGCTTTTTATATGTTACTAGGATTTCATCATATTTGATCGGCAGATTTATGATTAGAAGTAGCCTTTGACTTGAACATAGGCACAACAGAATCTTGCAAGGCCAGCAGGACAAGACTGGGAGGCTATTTAACCAGAAGATCTGATCACCCCTAATGTAACCATCTTGTTATCACTGACACATTTTATATACATAGCTTTCAAATCTAATGTGTGTGGGGGAAAAAAGTAATTTGTGACACAGCATGTTATTCATGGAAAGGTAACGTAGTATCTTGGTTATTAGGCTTCAGTTACAGAAAATACAAGAGATGTGTTTAAGCTCTGCTATACTCTTAGCAAAAATAAAGGTTCATAAAGGTTTTGTCTTAATTACAGCATACTGCAGAGTGCCACATTCTTAAGGTAGATTCTCATTTGAGTTGACCTTTCTTGAACAGAAGTTTCCCACCACCCCTTCTAAGGGAAGACGATGTCTGAAGAATGCTGCTTTTTCAGGGAATTGGTCTCAAGCTCTCAACATCTACAAAGCAGTTCTGTTACCTGAGTAGTGAACCCGTAACCCTGCTAGCTGAGATAATCCCAAGACAGCCATTGAGGCATTTTCTGTTTCCATTCATCTGCATCTTGTTTCCAAACAAGCATTGTGTTTTCACTGGTCTGGGCTTGTTTTTAACTGTGCCATTCCATCTTGTCAAATGTTGTGTTGGTTTGGCAAATAGTGAACATTCCTCTCCTTAAGGGACGATATGTATACTTACTGCAGTGCTGGATGGCTCTGTATGTCAGATACTTTGCCAGTGTAGTTGGGATTGTGAAAGCTCACAGGGCATGTCTCTGCTAAGTTGGCAGGGCTTGTTGTGTGCTGGTAGCAAATAGCAGTGCATGTGGAGAAATTTCTCTGGTGAGTGAGGAGACAGAAGTCTGCTGAGTAACAGGACAGCCAGGAAAGGGCTTGAAACTTGGAGGTAGCAATGAGGTTTTTATCAGTATAAAAGTTTTGTTTGTCTTGTAAGCAGAAAATGAGGGAGAGGGGCTAAATTTTACTTCTGGTGTTGCAAGTCAGCAGAGCAAATATTGCTGTCCCTGCTTGGTACGAGAAGTGATCGTCTTGAAGGAGCTACCAACTGCTAATGGGCAAGGCACTCTGGAGCATGCAAGGATGTTCGCTACCTCAGTGGTTCTGACTTGGTCTCGGTAATGCTGTTGGGAGATACATGAGCTGCTCTGGGAGGTGGTCACTTTATTTGGTTTCACCAAGCAAGGGTGTTGTACCCCTACACTCCCCCAGAAGAACAGCTTGCGTATTCCAGAAAAATAGTCTTCTCTTACTATACATTCATATCCTAGTTTTGTACCAATAGTTGTCAAGACAAGGCCATCAGCATCTTCTTATGGCATATATCCTGATTTTTATTCGTAGTGATAAGGACTTTTAAAAGCAAAAGGAAATACTGGATCACCTAGTTTGAGCAGGGTGTCATAGGCTGTAACTTCATCCAGCTACCTCTCTTCACTGTAATGTCTTCCATTTCAGGAGTGCATGATGTGCTTTCATAAGTGCATTATGGGGTTGGGGCATTCTTTTTCTTAAAAAAATCACGGCATTGCCTAGTAATCACCCAGTGGTATGAGTGATCTCTCCATTTTTTCTATATGATTGTTGCATATCTTTAATTTGAACAGGGATAAGGTATTTAGTGTACAGCTGAGCAATTACTTCTGGGTGCCTTTTATTGTCTATGTTTGTCATTTAAGAAGTTTAACATGTCATGTATGCATGCACTTGATCTGAGGAAAATAGGAGTGCTGCTAGGCACAACAGCCTGGAAATGCCCAGAAAATTAATTTGGATGCTTTCAGTGGTGTAAATTATGAAGAAAAAGTTGTGCACATCATGATTAGTTGTAAGTATTGAGGAATACCTTTGTAATGTGTGGTTTACACTTTCTCCTCTACTAAAGAGGAGCTCTGGTTAGTAAGGTAAGCTAACTAACTAACCTGCTAAGGTAAGCTAACTAACTAACCTGGCATCCCAGGTTCTCTGCTTACTGATGTGTGGACCATCAGGCAAGCATGTCCTGCAGCTACATTTCCAAGTGAGGAACAATGAGAACATTAATGAAGACCCTTTTTATTCCTACAGGTGGTTCACTCACTTTTATGTGGTTTCTGTGCTCTGGAACGGCTTTCTACTGATTAGTCTTTTCCGAGCGGAGTTCCTTGGAGGGTCGCTCCCATCATGGATTCAGCACATGCACCATGCACTTGGCAGAGATTCTCAGAGTGAGGACATGGGCAAGTATTCAAGTATTCTAGCTATTATAATGCAGCTATATAAATATGAGAAAGCTGCGCTACCGTCCTTTGCTGAATTTGTATTCTTCAAGTGCTATTTTATCAGCTGTTTTTAAACTAGGGTCCATGTGACTTCCCTGGAATGCCAAGTCCCTTTGTCATTATTCAGGGTAGAAATCATTCTAATTTATGAACATGATGAGTTTCTTTTAGCAGGAGCCCTTTTAGCAGAAAGGGCCGTTAGCACCTTCTAGAAGTAATCTTGCTATGGTCAGTAGTGCTTCACATGTACAAATATTTTCTCCAATGATCAGTTAATTTAAAATGAGGGTAAAATTTTGCTGTGGGGAGGGGAAAAATTAGCCTTTTTTAAGCACTCTCAGAGTTAAATTGTTCCTATCTGTCTCAAAGTTGCTACTTTTTATCTGCAAGCAGATAGCCAGCACTTCTCTGCGCTCCTGGTTCTCCTCATGCTTTGGCTGCATAGTTGTCGAAGACTTGCAGAATGCCTCTGGACCAGTGTGTTTTCTAATGGTGTCATTCATATTGTGCAGTATTGCTTTGGACTTGCTTACTACATTGCCATTGGCTCAACTGTGCTATGTCAAGTGCCTACTAATGTTAGGAATGGTAAGTGCCTGCTTAATTATTACCAAAGATGTAGTTTTGCTCCCATTTGTTTCCATCATGGCAAATGGTTTTGCAGAGGGCTGCCTGTGTGAAAAGTGTGTTAACTGGTGACACATAAAAATACTGGCATCGTTCAAAATAGCTCCACTGCAGTATATCACATAATCAACCAGCACACAAACACCGACACTGACACACACTTGCATGTTAACCATCACTGTTGTTCCCTGAAAGACATCTCAGGTAGATCCTTTCAGGATCATTACATTTCAGGATCACATCAGTTTTGCATTGAGATACATCTGTTTTATGAAGGACAGTAATAGGTACCAATTCTCAAATGCCGCAATGCAACTTCAGGTCTCAAAGTGGAATTTGATTTTTCCTGTAAGCTTTCTTGTAAGGTGAGTCTATAAGGCTGCCTTAGCCACATCCTTTGTTTTCCATTGAGAACTTGCCACTGCTCTGCCTTGCATCAGTCAGGCTTTTATTTCTGTCAGTACTGTAATGTCTCCATTAATACAGCAGGAATTTGAATTACATTACTTGTTTCTGCCAAAACATTCCACTGAGTCTCACAGTTGAGCTGCTGTTCCCCTGCACAGATGAACCACGAGCTGGTTGTAGCACTTCTATGACTAATTTTGGTAAGGTAGTCACTATCAAGTATGTAACTTCAGTGGAACTTTGAACCACTTCAACCATATCAGCTCTAGTTTAATCCAGTGATTTTTTTTTAAAGAACCCTCTGATCTCCTCTGTGTAGATAAAGCCTTTTTCTTTCTGGACCTGTCTTCTATTTTTCACATCCTGTAGATTCTTAGAGATGGTGCATTGGCTTGTACATTGGGAATCAGTTAACATTTTTTTGAAGGCATAAATGGTTACTCTGTGTGTGTGCACATGCGTGTGTAGGTGTATCTGTGTATACATCTCACTCACTGTGAACAAGACTAATCTGAGTGACAGTAACATCTTTAATTAGGGTCATAAGAATTAGAGTGTTGAATATTGAGGTCTTAGACTATCAATTATGTGCCTCGCATGTACAAATGTTTTCCCCAGTGAAATGTTCCCCCCTGCCCCAGTTGTACATCATGCTGTACCTTAAGCCGCTGCACTAAAACCAAGGTATTTTTAGTATAGAACAGTTGAAGGAAATTAACTACCAGCCAAGCACTTAAATGATGCAGGATTTAAAACCATCTTTCAAGGGATTAGAGGCCCATGACTAGAGTTTTGTAAGACAGTAACATTTAAAAAAATCCCTACAATGTTTTGGGATGATGCTTGGGAAGGTATTTCCTGGCCAGATATTATTGAATCGTCTTTTTCAGGAAAAGAGTTTTCTGCGCAGATCTGCTGGTATCACATCATAGGAGTTACGATGTATATTTGGGCCTCTCTTCACCAACACAGATGTCTTGTGATTCTGGCTAATCTTAGAAAAAGTAAATCGGGTAAGATGCTTCATTTCTGCCAATCATTTAGTTAGGTCATTTTCCCCTGGTTGTTTTAGTAGGCTTCTATAGCTTCTAGTATCTTACAGCATGAGTATTTTTCAGTTCCTGTAGAATGGTGCTCTCTAGAAAACTTTCAGTAGATCAAATGAGACTATTTGGAAAAGAGATCAGATGGCTGAATGAGGGTTGGGTGTGTCAGTATTTATAGTTCTGTAGAACTTAAAATGAAGGTCTAGCTTCTAGTACCCTAAGGACAGACACATGCTAATGCTTAGGACTTGTGCCATTCCTTGAGGACCTCACTTCTGTCTCCATGTGAGCTAAAAATAGGTTTCCTTACTCTGTGCAAACAGCCAGAGGTGGCATCTTATTTCATTAGGAAGCACAGAGCTGCCAGATCAGATGGAGGTGGATGACGATGATAACTTTAATGAGCATCTTGTTCTGTAATTGTGAGTAGAAGAGAAAGGTTTCTTTAGTGCATGTTTTTCTCAACTAATTTCTGTTTGCTTGCAGGAAAGGTTGTAAGTCTGAACCACAGTGTACCTTTTGGAGACTGGTTTGAAAGAGTTTCTTGCCCTCACTATTTTGCAGAGCTCCTCATATATGTATCTATGGCTGTCACATTTGGACTTCACAATGTGACGTGGTGGTGTGTAGTGATGTATGTTCTTTTCAACCAGGCGCTGGCTGCGGTTTTGTGTCACGAATTCTATCAGACAAAGTTTAGCTCCTACCCAAAGCATCGAAAATCATTTATACCGTTTGTTTTCTAGAATATTTCTTCTAAAGTATCTTTAGTACAAACTGGGAAATGTTTCCTCTGTGGGAATAAGAGATGTATGGCTTACTAAAGATAAGGTAAAATTGCACATATTCTCTAGTTCTAGCTTAAAATCTCATCCACGTTACCAATTTAGGTGGGGAAATGTAAGGTCTCTGCTTATCAAACGAGCTAAAAAAAATTACCAAGGACCTTATTTCAAACTGAAGAGGTGCTAATTGTCTCTTTTCTGTTTTATAATGGTATCTTATGTGTAAAACACTTGCTGTTGTGCAGCACGCCCAAATACATATATGTGAAAACTGTCGTGAAAGGAGGGTGCAGGGAATAATTTGAACCACTGTATTTCATGTCTTGCCTCATATTTAAGCATACTTTTTCCTAATCTCTTTTCTTTGAATCACTTCAGAGGGAGGCAAATTGTGTCTCTTTCTGTGCTTCCCTGTTGATAATTAAAACCAGCCACTGCTTTATAACTGCAAGCACAGAAACCAGTGGAGAAAGCTGCAGTGGAAGAATGACTCATGCTCAGCAGTGGAGATAAACAGACCCGTTCTCTGTGTTCTCTCTTCTGCACTGAAGTGTTTTCATTCATTGATGAAAACCTGTTTATTCCTAAGTGGGAAAATCATGGAAGGTGCTCTTTAGAGAGACAGTAGAAGAGAATTTGCAGAAAAGTAAGGTTCCTGGTTATGGTTCTGTCATCCTTTCATGGGTTATTGGAATCCCTCGTGTGTTAGAGGGGACAGTTATGCAGGATGACCATACCCACGAGTTCGCTGGTTTCTAAACAGCCTGTGAGAGCAGATGTAATGAACTGCTGAGGCAAAGAACACATGGAAACCGGTACCTGACACGTGGTGCAAAGAAATTCTTTACTGGGGACATGATGTTGCTCAGCACAGGGTTTCTTTGCACTTAATCACTGAATATTTGGTGCTTTTCATGATTATTCACTGGAGTGAATAATCAGCTTGCATGATGCAGGATATGGATGCTGCTGTTTCAGCAGGTTCTCTACTTATATGCCTGTATCATTTTGTATATGTGAAGAATTTATTATATACTAAAGTATATCGAATTAATTATCTAATTAAACCAGTTTATTACACCTTCTATTCCGTGTTATTTGTCAAAATTGAGCAGTGTATTTGCAAAACATGAGCCGTTACTTTTCACAGAATGCTGGGCCTCTCTTGGCTCTTGTGCCCTTCTCTTCATCAACTCCATAGCTTCAGTTCACCGTGGAGCATAAACAGCCCGTCTGGGGAGCTCTTCTTTCCATACTGGGGTTGATTTTTAGCGATTCACCTGCCTCCAAGCATCTCCTGTTCTACTGGCGTTCTTGGTCCCATTTACTGGACTGTCAGTTAACTTCTTGGGGAGCATGGTCCTGGCCTTGCCGCGGGGAGAGAGAGAATCAGGGTCACAGGCACCCGAAGCACTGCTTTGTCCTGGGGCTTTTAGAAACCTGGATGAGCCCAGGCCACTTCTGTGCAAGCTTTTCCCTTCTTACGCATCCGCTCTGCTTCCCGTCTCTCAGTGCCCTTTCCCTGCCCGTAAGCAACTCCGAACGCAGGGAAGGACGCGCCCGGACTCGCCCGCTCCCCCGGGAAAGCGGCACAG